CTCAGAAAATCAAGTTTTTCAGAAAAATATCGAAGTTGAATTTTTATCATAGGAAGATGCAACGAAGTTTCCTCTTTCAGAATATGTATATTTTTTTGAAAAATGATCAGATTTTCAAAGACTTATCGCATGAAAATTTAAACTGGCTACCATGTTTTCGAAGACATTTTCGTGGTTTTTCAAGGTTGTCAGTTTCGGAAACATTGCGCTCCTATTTGCATTATCACTGAATAGAATATCTGTATACAAATCAGTACGTCAGATGGCGCTAGCTACCTTCATCTTTTACGTCCTTTAAAACGGTGCAATGGAATATACCATTGTAATATGGCTTGTTCTGGATTTGAATTAAAAAATCCACTTCTAAAAATTCTTTAGCGTTTTTCTCAAAACATGGTTTCTAGACAGGAAAATTAGCATAACTTCCGCTCGACTTGGCATATGGCTGATGTTTTTTTTGTTTTAAAGGTCTTAATCAGAGCTAACTTTTCATCAGATGGATTTTTGATACTCGATTCCAGGGCTAAGAAAAGTGGAACTTACTGTTGTAGAGTCACGTTTTTCTATGCTTATTTTGCAACAATGTCCACAAAAATACTCATAAAAAAATGAATGGAAGGGAGTTTCAAAATTCCATTTGATGAAAAGTTGCATACAGAGGCTCGCTCCAATTTGAAACCAGCCGGAGCTCTGTACCTTTTCTAACGACGGAATTATGTCGATTTTTTATCACAAGGGTTTCTCACTAGGACTAATCATTTCTGAAAATTTAAGCTCAAACAGTGGGTCCTAAGTGGGAAGTCAATTTTGAGGGGGAAGCCCTTAACGCATTTTATTGATTTTGTCTCATGGAGAAACGATATTCGAACGTTTTTGTGTGTTCTGTGAATTATGTGTGCATAACAGCATGTGATGGGTGTATTCATTTTCATAAATACCATGCTATTGAATTTTTTCCTTTCGCTCCAGCATAGGAATGAGCTTATCATTTATCAAACTTCCTTCCGTTTAGATTTATTGTACAAAAGTATACACACTCAAAAGTTATAAAACAAAAAATATATTCGTTAATTTTTTTTTTACCAACGTTGTTTTTGCTGCAAAACAGTGAGAATAAAATTATTGAAAATATCATTTCTCAAAACAGTTACAGAGACAGTAAGTACAAGCCTATGTCATTAATATTCTGATACAATTACGCATTATCTTTTCATATTTTACTGAAAAGAATGTTCTTGCTTTCTCTATTTCTTTGATTAACAATGAGTGATCGATAGATGCAACTTTTTCCGATATTTAAAACTAGTTATTGTTTTTTTTTTGAGGACATGGCTGACTTTGGAATGGCAATGATGACGCAAGAGTACGCCAAACAAGCAGCTAAAGAAGCTGAAAAACAACAACAAATTGATAAAGCTGTTCAACAAGACGGTTTAGATGCTATTAATAAAGTGGCGAACGATATTGTTTCAGTATATCCCGATATTGTTACAACACATCTTGGTCTTGAAAACGATCCACAGACTAGACGTTTTCTAGAATTTGTTGCAACTGCTACGAGTTTCGCCTCGATGAAATTTGTGGAACGCTTACGGAACATACCAGAATTGGTTGGTTCAATTAAACGTTTACTGATCGAAATGATGAAAGAAATCAAGGAGTTTTCTGATATAGCTAATGAACTGCAAGATTTAATACATTGTTTTATCAAATTAGTGGTAAATACTAAACAAAATATGACATTAGTTATGGCGCCATTACAAGAATCGATAGATCACATGGAAATTATAGCTGATGCTTTATCACCAAATTCAGATAAATCATTAGAAAATCGTGACAAAGAAGATATTGAACTTGCTTTACAGGGTATGTCATGTGGTATCGAAAAGTTACTTCAGTTGGCTCGAACATCAAAACAAGAAAGTAGTAATCTTGACGAAAAAATTAATGTGATGAAAAAAAATATACAAGAAAAAAGAATTGTAGTAGAAGGAAGACTAGAAATAGCCAAATGTGCTCCTTGGCTCGAAGCTGCAGGTGGAGGTTTTGCAGGATTTTTAGTTGGTGATGCTCTTGTTGCTGGTCCTATATTAGGTAGTGCTGGAGCGATAATAATTGGTGGTATTGCCTTCCCTCCTGTGCTTGCTATCATTGCTGCAGCTTTAGTAGGAGGAGCTCTTGTTGGCAGCATCGTTTACCTTGTAAAAAAACTTTGGGCTCGGCATAATAGAAAAGCACTTGCATATTTAAATGAAGTTTTAAAACTTTTGGTGAAATTAAGTGATGCTAATCTTTATTTTTGTAATTATATGGCAAGAGCAGAAGCTGGTGCTTCTAAAATTCTAAATGAAACAAGTCAAATTCAACGAACAATAACCACTGGTAGTGAACGTTATCGAAAAATTAATGCACGTATATGCACTGAAGCTATTCAATCGACGAATGAAATGATAACATGTATTAAAGAAATTGTACAAATCGATATGTCAGAATGGAGTAGCAGTTCTGCTGTCTTAAGTTTCGCATCATCATCATCCAAGGCAGAATCTTCAATTAAAGCTATTAAAAATTGAACATTGCACTAATGTCATGTAGAACACAATTTCATATAATCTAGATCATTTTTTATGTAACTAAACTGATTTGTACTATTTATTTTATTTTAAACTTGAAAATCATGTTGTCTTGTATCATCATTCTTAACTGTTTTACTATTCAAAAATAGGATGTAGATGTGAATGTACACCCATATCTAGCATCCGCATCCTAGATCCACACCCGTGCATCACTATACAGCAACATGAAGGATCGCGTTTTGACAAATACAGCTGTGGGCAAAAAAACTTGCACAAATTTTCTTTTTATCTTAGAATCTTTTTCCTATGGCTCGAAGCAACTATAAGCGGCATTTTTCTAGGGTTGACTCTTCGATAGTTATACTAGATAACGACTATAGAGAACTGTGGCCTTTCTTATTTTTAATATGTATTTATACGATTAAATTACCTTCTTCTACTTCGAAAAGTCTATCATATATCAATATTATACTGTTAAAACAAAGCAGTAAGATCTAGCTGGGTGCTCCATTGTAAAACAGATATGCTTCTAAGGACTATCTATTACAATCATACTAGATGAAAATAAATCGCTGTTGGTCAAAACGTCCAAACGAACGACTGAAATATGTATCTATGAAAGTAAAAAAAAAGTTTACGGATGAGACCATGTTGCAAATAAAGATGTGTTGTCTGTTACACATTTAGATGCAGTTTTGATGATCTTTATTTAGTCAATATGCTTGAAAACTGCATATTTTTTTCTGTTAGCTGTAAGCGATGAAAAGAGCGATACTATTTTACAAAAACTTTATCAATGAGGGCCCCTCTAATTCAGCCGTATTGTTGAACAATTCGTTAATATTAATACATCACTAATCTTCGAATACTCATCTAATATCTTGGATGTAAACCTCATAGGAATCTTTCGTCAGGCATAAAATGTAATGTTGAGAAAAGAAATTAAAAAATAAATTAGGTGAACTCTATCATTTCTCATGTGAAGAAGTTTAAAATGTTGAAATTTGGGATGTATATAATTTTGCTGTGTGTAAGCAAAAAAATTTTTTTTTTCAAGGTAGTAACAATGAAATGTACTCAGAGATCATTGATCATTGAACTAAATGAAAATACTCAATAATTTAATTTTTTTTAGACAAATTAAAGAAAATAACATTACAATGGTTGTTTTTCATTGTGGTAGTTGTGGTGAAGCACTTAAAAAAAATCAAGTCGATAAACATATAGCAAGTACATGTCGACGAGTGCCAACACTCTTTTGTATAGATTGTGGAAAAGATTTTACGTATGAGATAATCTATTTGAATTATTTTAGTTTTTATTTATGTCATCTTTTATTTTATAGTCTGTTTAAAAAGTCCGTGCATGTGACTGTTTTTTGAATAATTCGAGAACGCAAACAGCTAGAGATCTGCAGTTTTTACCAATCGAAAGAGAAGAAGTTAGGGCATCTTTTTCTCTGATAATGTCTCAGACGAAATTCTTTTAAAACTGATTATCTTTGAAAAATATAGAAAAGAATGCATGAAAGTGACATACAATACATATGATGTTTCGATTATGGCCTTTGATTTAGGTAGAGGGACTTCAGATCTATAGTTTAAAACATAATACACTTTCTTACGTTTCAGTATATTTTCATCGAAGTATCCAGCTGTTATGACAAAAAATGCAAAAACGTAGTAAAACATCAGCAAAATTCCTTATTATTTGTGCATGTAAATACATGATTTCATTTGGTCAACGTTAGAATGCAATTAGAGAGTCATTTGAGTTGCATCTTGAACTATAGATCTGAAGTTCCTCTATCCAAATCAAAGGTCATAATCGAAACTTCATGTGCATTGTATGTCACTTTCATGCATTCTTTTCTATATTTTTCAAAGATGATCAGTTTTAAAAGAATTTCATCTGAGACATTATCAGAGAGAAAGATGCCCTAACTCCTTCTCTTTCGATTGGTGAAAACCACAGATCTCTAGCTGTTTGCATTCTCGAATTATTCAAAAAACAGTCACACACACGGACTTTTTAAACAGACTATGTATATGAATATATATTACTAGCCAAAAGTAATCAAAACCCCTAGCATTGGACCTGAAAATTTTATCATAAATAGAGATCGGTAAGTTCTGATCGTAGACACCAACTCGCACTTAATCGAATGACAACTAGTTGAGTTGGGGATCAAACATTACCTTGACCTTAGAACACTCGGATCTCTACCATTCGAGCATCCTGATTTATTATCTGGACATCTAGCCTTTCTATTGTAAGGATTTTCTACGAAATCACCATTGTCTTGTTGAGTTCTATGTTTATATTGAAAAATCCGCATATCAGTACTTATAGATAAATTGACTATAATTCAGATAGATTTCAACCGTTTTTTCTGAATTTTACTGGATGAATCTTCAGGAGTCGAGGAAGTTTTTTTTTTTTATACATTAGAGATTCATAGTTATTGCTGAACAGAAGTTATCGAAGGAACTTGATGCCAATACTGCAAGGCTCATGGTTCGTTAGAATTCTAATCTAAAACAAAGATTTAGGTCAAAAGGAAACAAAAATGATGTTGAGAGAAAAGTTTTGGCTGGTTCTCTATGGTTTCATCAATTGAAAGTTAAGTTTTGATCGATAAATGAAGTACTAAGTGTCTCATTTATAATATAGAATTGGTACTTGAATTCTTTGAGATCCCGACGTATAATAAACCTTGCACTATTGACATCAAGTTTCTTCGATAACATCTGTTCAGAAAAAGCTATCACTCTCTAATTTATATCGATTATTGACGATTCTTCAAAAAGATTTTCATAGAAAACGGTTGAAATCTATCTGAATTATCATCAATTTATCTAAAGGCAATGATATGCTGATTTTTAAGTACAAACATAAAACTCAACAAGACAAAAGTGATTTCGTCGAAAACTCTTACGGTAGAAAGGCTAGATATCCAGCTAACGAATTAAGATACTCGAATGATAGAGATCCGAGTGTTCTAAGGTTAAAGTAATGTTTGACTCACAACTCAATTATGCGTCATTGGATTGAGTGCGAGTTGGTGTCTAGGATCAGGCCTACTGAGCTTTCATTATGGTAAAGATCTTCAGCTCCAACACTCGAGTTTTTGATTACTTTTACCTAGTATCACTACTTTTGGCTAGTAATGTGACAGAAAAACCACGTTCGATGTTCTCGTTATCCATAGCCTTCAAATAATGAAAGTAATCAAACGAAAAAAAATGATACAGAAGATCAAGATCAAAATATATCCGAAGCTCCTGTTAAAAAAGAAGATATTGATGAATCACAATCGAAACGAAAAACTAATGAAGATAATGAAGAATCTTCAGAAAAACAAAAGATAATTCATGAAAATGAAATTGTTCAAGATGATAATAATCAAACAGTACCATAAAATCCTCATTTTGAATGGTATCATAAAATTAAACTTGCATTGAGTAAAGCAAATGATCAAACACTTACTCTAGATGCTTTAAAGAAAAAGGTAATTATTCGATAAGAAACTCAGAAGTGATTTGATCAATAGAATTTATTTTTTAGATTCTCAAACGGTATAAAAAATTGAAACCAAATCAAGCTAAAGAAGATGACTCACTCTTGAAAAAATTGGAAAAGAAAATTCAACGTGCACCATTCGTTCAACAAATTGAAGAAAATGTGTATCGATTGTCTGAATGAACAGGTTTTTTGTGTTAAAAAATTTTGTTGTTATACTCGAAATTTCTCAAAAATTGATATGTTCTTGTAATTTTTGAAGTTTTTTTCGAGACAAATAAATAACTGAAAGCTAATGATAATATCTCTTAATTATACGTCATTCAGAGTATAAGAAAAATAGAGCCATATATGAGACCATCGTATTGAAACCAATTTGAGTTTAGTGTCAATCGAAGAATCATTGGTCAAGACTTTTTAAACTTATTTTTTTCACACGAATTCAGATTTAAATATTGATTAATGCAAATCATTTTTTGATGCTTCGAAACATAAAAAAAAGAATCTTAGTATGAATGCCTAGTTGAAACAAGTGTGTGGATATGCATAAAATCCTTCAAACGGGATAGATAACATGAAGACTAGAAATTTCTCAAGTTTTTGACTTACTACTTTCAATGCTTAAAATCGAACGGTTCTCTATTTTACATCGTTCAAAGTTTATTGAATTCATGTTTGAGAAAAAAAACCTACGAATAGAGGTAATATTCATGAAAAAGTTTCATGACTCAATGAATGTATGTTTTTTCTCGAGTAGGAAAATAGTCAGAAAAATCAATTCTTTTTGAATAAAACACTCATAGTTGACTAGATAGCATCCGAGTTACACTCGACTGTAAGATGCGGTACAAAGGTTCCAATGTCGATTGATGGATAAATCGATATTTTCTAAGAAACGAATAATCGTTTGAATGATTAAATATGAAACACTATTCTCCGAAAAATAACCATGCTATACCGGAATCAGGCTTCTTCTTTCGTCGCTATAAATCAGAAAAGTTATATTTCGATCAATCAATGATCGAAGTTAGAAAGAAACTGTAAAGTAGTCATTGCGAAATGCATTACAAAGAGAATTCTATTAATGATTCATAGCTGTCTTATCTTTGAGGAAAGAGAGTAGCGGCTTTCTGTAAGAAAATGGAACGTCATATTAAAGATAAAAAAAACGGATGCTATCGATTCAATCATGAGATTTCATTCTTGCGTTTGAACAAGTATTTTCTGACTTTCGCTTCTCGAGGTTATCGTTACAGAAATCCATTTGGTTTTTTCGAACGATCGTTGATGCAAGATAGCATTGTATTTAGTTGTCGGTGAATACTCAGTATGCATACCAGCAGCGATTTCTGTCAAAACACAAGTCGAGTGTAGTGTGGTTCGATGCATCTTCTCACAAGGAATCCGAACATGGTTTTGCCTTTAGGTTTTGGCTTTTCTTTAATAAAATAAATTACCAAAAAAAAGCCATGAAAATTCTGCAAAAAAAAACCGTTTTTTCACGTTTTTTGTCTTTTTAATTGCTTAAAGTATTCGGAACATATTTCCATCAAAACAAAAGCATTTCGAAATTTCTTTTCTTGTGAAAGTTCTTAGAATTAAAAGCTCTACAAACGCTACAAATCTCATCAAAATCAGAGATTGCTTTTGTATATTGTGGCTGAGATTCCATAGAAATAACGCAACTAGAAATCATACATCTTCTTTTCTGATCTGCATTTCATATTCAAATCTCACTCCCGTAAAAAGTTGACTATAGAGTTCGATAGAACAACTTTCGTTCTATTGAACCCTATAAGCTGTGGGGTCATATATTTCGTTATGAAAATTTTTTTCAATGATATGTAGTCCAATACATTTCCACATGGGCTGCATTATTTTACGAACGAAATTGCATTATAGAGGGATTTAAAGACGATTAAGAACAAGAAATCGCAAAGTTACTCATTCTAGTAATATTACAAACACATGATTTTCTGATAAAAACCTTTGTACAGTATTTCAGATGATTCTCTGCCAATTTAACCAAAATGACCAGCTTAAAAATTTCTATAAACAATGTACATTTGATGCGATTTGAAGATACTTTTTTAAATGATGGTGGAATCTCCACGGAATTACCCTGTATCTTTTTTTCATTTCACAACTCTGTTTCTCTCTCTCTCAACAAATTCGAACCAAATCAAAGAACATGATCGTATTTTAACAATGTTTTTTAATATTTTATTGGCAATTTTTTATGTAGAAAAAATAGGGGCTATTAAGAGTGAAAATAATTCTATAACGTTAAAGTTGAATCAACTAAGGAACATGATGTAGAAAGAATCGTAGTAAATTATTGAAAAAAAGATACTTTACAAGAGTCGCACATATTGCCAAGTGAAATCCACATCTAATCTAACCTGACAAAGTTCAATGCGAGTTTGCATACATCTATGTTCGACAGTCGTGTACAAATCTAACTGTATTCAGAACTTCAATGATACATAATTAAAGGATTTGTCTGATTGTGTTAGTTTGTAATGTATTTATCAGATGCTATGCGTACTTAGGGATGTGAGTGTGTAGGTGTGGGTGTGGATATGATTGACCAGAAGTTCCGCACTCTACACTCTATATCAATGATAAAACGAGATTCCATTACTATTAGTTGTGGATCATGCAAAGATGATAATGGAAGTGAATTTATAGATTATATTGTTGAAAAACATGATGCATCAAGAAATGTTTGGCAACGTAGTGAATATAATGATCTCTGTACATTTACATATACAAATATTGGATTCACTGAAGATGTTACACATCATTTTCACATACGTATATCGATTTTCATTCTATCTCCGTCATTGTTTCTTAATGTAAAATATTCATTTGAACAAATATCATTTTCATAGGCTTTTTTTCTAGAATTTATTTCATTGTAAATCTTGTATTTTTTTTTTATCATTACATGATTAATAAAACAAAAATCATTTGAAAGATAAAAATGAAAATTTAAGCCGTATTATGATATAACAAATTAGATATATTTATCTACATGATAGAAAACGCAAAAAAATGATTATTATGCATCGTTGCTACCACTTCGTACAACCAAATTAGCCTTATCATGATCAGTTTCTTTGCTTTGAGGATAAAAATGTACTTGTTGACGAAGAGGAGATGCAAGAGTAGCTATACAAAAAAATAAAAAAGTAAAAAAAATAAAACTTCAAAAGCTATAAACCTTTTCGACTTGGTTTTGATAGAGGCGGTGGAACTTCCATATATAATTTAGCCGATTCGTCAGATGATGTCACCAATCGAGCTGGTTGATTAGATGCTGTTGTTGCTGCACCATACATTGGATTAGGAAATACTGCTGATGATTCCTATCAAATAAAATTTATTTAAACAAAACAAAAAAAAATTCAATATATTTTTATTTACAGTTGTTGTCTGGCCTGTTGCTGTAGTAGATCGAGCATCTTGAACTTGAACTGGATTTATATTATCTGTTGAACGTGTAATAAAATTACGCATATTATTCATTATTGTTTGAATATTTCGTGGTAATTGTGGAGTTGGAATCGATTGTAATCTAATACAAAAAAGAAACATATGTATATATATATATGCATTTCGATTAATGAATGAATCTTTCCAAGTGTTAAATCACTTTTCGACCGAGTTAATATTTATTTGATGCATACCAATGAGTAATAGAAAAGTCTAGAATGGTTTGATTTTCTGAATGTTTATTCTTCAGATATCGAAATTTTACTGGATTTTTCAGCGAAAAGCTGTGATGGTCGTCGTCAACTCACGTTAGAATTTCGACTCCAAACTTTGTACGAACAATATTCTTAATGAAATTAGTTGATTGTACAACTATTTTTTCTTTTTGGACATATAAATATATGAACAAAATTTTCGCTTTACACATAGGAGAATTTCGAATATTTCATGTGTCTCAGTACACAACATACTAGAAAAGTTATAACTTGTTCAATGAACTAATCTCGCTAAGAACTTTGTTCATGCAAAGTTTAGAGTCGAAACTCTCACATGATTTGAGGGAACTAGAGCTTTTTGTTGAAAAACTCAGTAAAACCTCGATATTTCAAGAATAAAGACTCGGAAAACTAAACCATTCTAGATTTTTTTTTATTACTCACTAGTATTCATTAAATGAACATCGTCTCGGTCGAAAAGCAATTTGACACCTGAAGAAGTTTCCTTGCAAGCTATCAAATTATTAATATGTCTATTTTATAAAGACATCAGGTTTTCGAAAAAACAAAAAAATGTCTTTTTGAATTTTGATCTGAAATTTTGTACATATAGGGAACTGAACTAAATTAGTTTCTATAAAAAAATTCACAAGTTTTCAACAAAATCTCTTTGAGATATGAGACTTTCAAGATCTAGATCCATTTCAATGAATAGTATATGAAATATGCAGTTTTTGAAAACTAGTCTAGTTGAGCTCATTGTATGTGCAAAATTCAATAGCTTACGAGAGAAGTTCCTCGGATGATTATAAGCTTTTGATTCCATATTGTGTCCAGTCGTAAGGGATTGATAGACTAGAATATTCTTCAAAGGATTCATGTTGATGTTAAGATTTGATCGATATGTATTTACTTTTTAGTGAAACTTTTTCTGTATGGACCCAATTTGTTGATCAAATCCTATTGTCAAATTTAGGTCTGAAAATTTTGCCTAGATGAAGATTTTAGTGAGACTAGCTTATGCACAAAATTTAAGACTTTTTCGATCGAGTGTCTGTGAGATATATATTCATTTATCAGAAACACTCGATCGAAAGTCCCATAGTAGCAAAAAAGCGACATATGTTTCATAATCATTTCTCACAATATAATCTATAAAAATTAATGCCTAATACCTCGGAATGAAGTAATAAAGAATGCTCTAGAATCCTCTCCAACTATCTGTAAAGGAAATATACAATCGTTTATATGTTTCTGTCTAAAATGAGCTAATCTAACAGTCTTCTTGAATTGAATCCAGCAGAAATAATTTGAAACTCGAAGGGTTAAAATTTTTATTAGAACATTATGTAGTGTCTATAGACAAAAAAAGCATTGAAATCGAATGGGAACATTTTGAATAGGTTCGTTCGTTAGAGATCGAAAATTTATCTTGTCAACTTACTTTCCTTTACGTTTCAATTGAATTAAACCAAAAGTAAGCATACCAATTAATAATAAACTAACTAACGCAATAATAACAATTTTCCATGTATGTTTACGACAAAAATATGCATTTTCATCACTATTATCACCACAATCATTATGTAAATTACATACATATGATGCTGGTATACATCGGCCATTAGCACATGTAAATTGATGA